ATTTAATGAAATAATAATAAAATAAGCAACTTTAAAAGATATGATTGGTTGTCAGTGTAAAAAACTCTATACTGGCAGTGTATAAATAATTAACTCTTTTATTATATCTTTTACATATAATTCTTACTTTATTAAATATTCAGATAGAAAGGTGTCACATAGGAAGTGTCATTTTTCAACAGCCTTAATAAATGCTTGAATTATATCTAGCTCATAAATAAATATCATAAATTTTTATTTTATTCTAATTAATTCTTAAACATTATATTTTTGCAAATAATCATATAAACTTTAATTTTATTTTAATTAATCCTTAAATTTTATCGTATTTATAATTGAATCTTTCTATCATTTATTTTAAATATGATAGATCATTAATTTTTTCTTCTCCTTATCTTAAGTCATCTATTTTTTTTTAATGGAATTCTTAAATTTAAGAATGGATCCTTATAGATTTTACCATCGGACATATAGGATGATGTGTATTTCACGTGTAAGAATTGTCTTTATATAAAAAACATTCAAGAACACATTTTTAAATAATATATAAAAAAATTTCTATTCTCTCTTCATTGTAGAAATCACATAAAAATAAATTAAAAAAATTCAAGTTAAGTTCTTCCATTGAAAATAAAGAATGTTTCAAAACCCTATGTGACAAACCCGCAAAAAATATATTAAAAATCCAATATAAATTCTACTATGGATAAGTTTGGACTAATGCATTTTTCATATAAATATAATTAAAATATGAATTTTGAAAAATAAAATAATAAAAACATCAAAACTCTTCGTTTTTTTAATTCTAAATTTTATTATGATTTATGGTTTGAAAAAGTTATTTATAAAAATAAAACTAGTAAATGGTTGAGATTTAAAATAATTAAATTGTACATAGTTATTTGTTTAATACAAATAGTTTTCTTTTTGGAATCAAGGACGTGACCACAAGTGCTTAATGTATTGAACTCAAAATAAAATCTTTTAGACAGTATACGAATTCAATTCTTAGTGAAAATAATTTTTGGTTAAATTTTACTTATATATCAACTATCAAGTCAGATTAGTTTATAAAAAAATATTAGAAATCAAGACTAGTGTAAAATCAATAAAGTAATTCTCTTTTGATACATGAATATATTTTTAGTATATTTTAATACTAATTGTTTAATCACAACTTAATTCAAGTATAATATACATAAATATTCTGAGTTAATTAAGAGGGGAAAAGTGAATTGACTTATTTACGTGTAAAAAGATATTATACTTAATTATTAATCAAGAAAAAAATTATAGGATTTATTTATGAAAAAAAAAATTAAAAATCAACTAAAGATATTAATGAACACATCGCATGTGCGGTTTGAAATAAATAGATATAATATATTTTAGAAAAACTAAAATTAATCAAAAAAATATTTTATTAATTTATATAATAAGATAACTGTGAAATATTTATTATATATTTTTAAATTAAGAACGTTGTCAAAATTGTTGAAAAAAAAAGTTGTTATGTATACTGATCATAATTTAAGGAATTTATTCATTCAAAATAAAAAAATAATATATATATATATATATATATAATAATAATAATAATAATAATAACAATAATAATAATAATAATAAACAAATACTGTTGGTCTCTACTTCAAAAATATTTTAGCAGAAACTTTTAAGTTAAAATTTGTAAGCAATATTAACATTAACCTAACGATAATCAACTTTATTTTGTAGGTTAGAATTTAAATTTTGATCTTTCCTTTCTCTATTTCTGAAGTATCCCATCAACCAAAGTGATTTTGTTATAATGCTTTTATGTCACTACAAAATATTACTTATAATTATCAAATTACTGAATTCCCTTATTAGAGTAATATCGTCGTTCAACAAATACGTCCTTTGACGAGTATGTCTTTTGAAGATAATTTGTATGTAACTTAAAATTCTCATTTTATAAACACATCTTTAATCAAATGAGTCCAACTGAGAAAAACTTTCCTTAAAGTAAATATTCATTTTATAAGTGCTTCTTTAATCAAGTGCATTTTTGGGTAAGATGTTTTAGGTAAAGTAAAATCTTTGTATTATAGGCACTTTCTGAGTCAAGCGTGACATGCGCAGGAAATCCTTTATTTAATTTGAACAATTCATATATTTGGAAACATTCTTGTATTATTATTCGTACTTTGGGTGCCTCATTAAAAACCTCGTAAAAACATTTTCACGTTCTTATAGGGATAAAAAACAAAGTGAGGAAAAGAGTACACCTTTAATACAAGAGTTTCAACTATGGTACAACATTACTTTGTTTATATTTCTTCTAACTTCTCTTGTTGCTCTCCATGTCAAATCTGCCTCATGAAATTCTCTCTATTTAAGAAAAAAAAATGAATATTATTATTAATTAGAAAGTTAGACTTTAATACAAAAGAGTGTCAAAAATCAAATGCAAAGGCACAATATATGTGTAACACCCAAATCTTTATTATTATTATTTTTGTT